ACGATAAATTGTTATTCATATTTTTCATACTTTTTCTTGACATAGAGACCTGAAACTTTCAGAAACAGAAGATCTTCATTAGATATATATGTGATAAAAATTTCAGCCCTCTATGCCAAGAAAAAGTATGAAAAATATGAATAACAATTTATCGTCAGTTATTATGGAACACCCTTTATATATATATAATTGGACCGTTGTATCGTCCGAGTATAAAAGAACGATTTTTTTTCCTTTTTCATAAGAAATAAAAAAATATCAACACTGATGTACTACTGCTAATAATTTTTCTTGAGAGTTATTGTTTCGGAATACTAAAACAACATTAAAATCTTCTCAAAAAATTTCTACACAACTATAAACGGTGGATTTTTAAATTTAATCAATTGCTTTTTTGTTGAAATGGCTTTAACAGCGGCTGAACGGGCAAAAAAATATCGAGAAAAAATAAAGCAAAACCAAGCTAAGTGCAACGAATTTAAACAGAAAGATTGCCAACGGAAGGCTAAGAAAATAGCTTCAATGACAAAATAGCAAAAGCAAAAATATCTCGATGACCAACGAAAAACTCAACAACGTTATAGAAAGAAATTAAAGTTAAAACTCAAGAATCAAGTGTCACTAGAGTAATTTTTTAAAAAGCCCTTTTCTCGTAAAATCAAGGTTTTTTTTTATTTAGTTCTTCATATAATACCAAACAAACACTTTCAAAAGCAGTCAGAAAGGTTTTACGTGTACTGCCTAACAATCCGAACCGGAAAAAACAAGTTTTACAACGTGTTGGTCAAGATTTAGGTTTATTTAAAAAAACGACAGCCATACGAACACAATCACAAATATCAGCTTCATTGGTGAAAAAAATTTAAGACTTTTACATAACCGATTCAATTTCTTGGCAAGCACCCGGTAAACGTGATACTAAAACTGTGAAAGAACATGGTGTTAAAGTTAAATATCAAAAGCGTCATTTATTATATAGCATTCAAGAAATTTATGAGTTGTTCATACAACAAAATCCAAGTAAGATAATCATGCTACTCACTTGAAACTCATATTGATAAATTTAAATTAGAATGATACTCTTTATTTTTATTTATAAAAGGTAGGAGAACTAAGAAAAAGAAAATGTCGACAGTTTTTATTAATCTATCTTTCTTAAAATTTGCATTTCTTTTGAAGTTATTTCGTTTTTTTGGATAATTAGATGCATCAATCAGTCGATCTTCTTTTGCTAAATTACGACCAAAATATGTATTATACAAGAATACTCTAGCACACCGAATGTGTGTGTGTTATACATGAAAATATCAATCTTCTTTTGTATGCTTTATCAAATGAAATTGCTCGACTGAACAATAACTTAAGTGAATATACGTCACGTATGGTGTGTGACGAAAATGATGAAGATTGTATGATGTCTCGTTGTGATGATTGCAAAGGAAATTTTGCACAACATATCATACCAAATATTATGAACAAGAAGAAGGTAATAAAATGGTACCAATGGATGCATTATAAAGGACGTGCTGAAAAGAAAGAATTCTCCGGTATGAATACAAACTTTCCTTGTGTTTTCAGTTATAAGTATCATTTTTTTTTCCAGGAACAGTTTTTCATTGTATGAAGCAATTACAACAAAAAACACCTCAATACTTATGTCACGTATTTATTAAAAGAAAACAAAGCAACTATTTCGAAGATATTAAAGAGACTGTAAATGATGATACAGTAGTTTGTCAAGTTGACTACGCCGAGAATTTTACACTTCAAAATCAAGATCAAATACAATCGGCTCATTGGTCTAAAAAACAAGTTTCAATTTTTACAGCTTATGCTTGGATGGGAGGTAGTGGTGGACAAGGATACTCATTTGGACTTGTATCGAATCAGAAAAAGCATAACAAATATACTGTTATTACTTGTTTAGAAATTCTGGTTCAAGAAATTATTACCATGATGCCAGATGTTAATGAAATTATTTTTTTTCCGATGGTGCCGCCAGCCAATTCAAGCATCGTTATGTTATTCAACATCTAACAACCATGATGGATAAAACCGACATCGATTTCAGTTGGAATTACTTCGCCTCATCTCATGGCAAGGGAGTGGTGGACTCTATAGGTGGTACTTTAAAAAGATTTGTCTGGATGGAAATAATGGCAGGTACTCATTGTTCATCTGCTCAACATTTTGTTGATATTTGCCATCAAAAAACGAAAACAATTATTGTCAATCATGTACAAAAAGCACAATTTGATGCAACATATTCATTACTCGAAAAAACATTTAAAAAAATTGCTGGTGTTCCAGATATTCGACAACAACATCATGTCAAAGTTTTGCATAAAGATATAATTGAATATGCTTTATATGCGACAAGAAAAGAAAGCTATGTATTTAGATTTTGAAATTTTTATGTAGACTATATTATTATCAGGAAGTAGTACTTTTATGTTTTAGCAATTATTTGAAATAGTTTTAATGATTTCTTTTATTCTAGATAATATTTGTGTGTCTGCTTATATAAACTGTCACTACCTTTCTGAAGGAATACGTTTGATCACATGTCCGTATTTTCAAATCGTTATTCCGTCACGACGATATTTTTCACTAGCACGACGAAGCTATCATATATTTTCGATTATCGTTATTTCTATATATAGCTAGTCGCCTGAGCTATAACTTTTCTATAGAAAGTATTTTTATCACATTTGCAGATGAGCTGAAGTTTTTAGTTTTTCACACAACACTCAAACTAGGTGTCCATTTTTGGTTATTCCATCACGGACATATGTTTCAATCATAAAAATGTAAAAGAAATACCAGATCTAATGACAATTTGCCAATGTGTAAAGCAGTCCAACTTATATATGCTCTCAGAATAGTACGCTTCTTAGACATAGCTGTGGTGAGATATTTCAGAGACAAAATGAAAAAACGTTATTCCGTCACGATTGGACAGGTCGATGATATCTGTAGATTAAAATAAAATGTGCATAATTATAATCTATTTTCAATCAAACAAAGTTATGTAAAAGATATTCTTTGTTTGTAACGAGCTTTTGTTTAGAAATAAATGAAACGAAAATTGATACATAGCTATCAATGAGAAAAATCTAGGAATAATGAAATACATTGTATTCTGTGACTGTGCATCTATATATAGCGATTCATATCGTACTGATATAAGTGAACAATAATGCAAACATAGACCAACGAAATGAGGACTATTTACAATATCGGAGGCTGGTGACCTCTTTCAGTAATATTGCCAATGCTATTCTTTTTTCGACATTTTTCTTTTCTGTCTTTTTTCATTCAATATTTTTACGTTCTGTCTTTTCGTATTCGATATTTTTCCCTTTGATATATTCTTTCGTTCTTTTTCCTTTCGATATTTTTCTTTTCGACGTTTTCCCATCCATTCTTATATATGCAGTGCAACTTTGATACTACGTTACGATCCTGGTGTTCATTTTAGTTTCGAGTGAAATTAGGTGCAAATATGAACTGCTAAAACACAATATCATGATCCTCCATCTTCATACATATCTGAAAAATATAAGGATAAAGGTCAATTTTTGAAATTAAATGTCTCAGCTGAAGAACATTTTAAGGTGGCTCCCTCAGAATTCACTTCCTACTTAGGGCCCATTGTTTGGGCTGAAATTTTTGAAAGGTAATTGGCCCTAGTGAGAAACGCTTGTGGCAAAAATTTCCGCGTGATGTGCTCGACTAAATCGCAGTTTCGGGTTGTTTTCCTAACTTTCAGGAGAATCGAAATAATTCCGTCGTTGGAAGGAGTACAGAGCTCGAGCGGGTTTGGAATTGGAGCTAGCCTCTATAGGCAAATTTTTATCGGATGGGATTTTGAAACTTCCTTGCACTCCTTTTTTATGAGTATTTTTGTGGACAGTGTTGCAAAATAAGCATAACAAAATGTGGCTCTACGACAGAAAAATCCACATTTCTCCGCGCTGGGATCGAGTATCAAAAATCCGTCCATTGGAAGGTAGGCTCTGATTAAGATTTTTAAATTAAAAAAATACATCAATCATCTGCCTAGTCAAGCGAAAGTTCTTTCAATTTCCTGTCTAGAAACAGACTTTTGAGAAAAACGCTAAAGAATTTTCAGAAATGGATTTTTTTATTCAAATCCAGAGCAAGCCATATGATAATGGTATATTCCATTGCACCTTTTTAATGGACGTAAAAGATGAAGGTAGCTAGCGCCATTTTACGTGCTCGTTCATATAAAAATATTCTATTCAATGATAATGCAAGGGGGAGTGCAATTTTTCTAAAACTGGCAACTTTGAAAACCATGAAAATATCTCTCAAAACATGGTAGTTTGCAAATCTGATCGTTTCCCAAAAACTGTACAAATTCTGAAAGAGGAAGCTTCGCTGCATCTTCCTATTAAAAACTCAACTTCGATATTTTTCTGGAAAACTTGATTTTCTGAAAGCGGGCGGGGGGGGGGGGGGCTTAAAAGGAAACTTTGCATAGACTTCAACATAAATTGAACGACCTATATCTCGACGCTATCCAATCTTTGAAAGTCAATAAAGACAAAAATTATTTGGTCAGAACACTCGTGAAGTATAAGTTTCGATAACATGTGAAACAACATCATATTTGGAATCTTCAAACTTGCACTGAGCTCTCAGAAAAAAAAATATATATACAGTGTTGCAAAGGAAAGAGAGCTTTACCAATTCTTATATGATCTGTTTTCAACGGTGGTAAAAGAAGGGAGAAAAATCAAAATGCAACACTGATGCAAAAGAAGCCATTTTTCAAACACACATTGAGATTTGACCAAAGATTTAAGTCTAATTAATCAAGGGGAAGGTTTTTGGCCGTTATATCTTGGATTCTAATACCGCATAGAATGAATTATCTTTTTAAGATATTGAATTCAAAATCTGAATTCGATGATGTTTTTCGATGTGTGACAAACTTTCAATTTTTGCATAGTACGCTTCTTAAGTAGAGCTCTCGACCATCTGCCATAATTGATTAACTTAACATGATGTCGACGAAAATTGATTGGCACCTAAAATTTCCTCGTAGATAAGTCTGTGTTATATAATTTGTCAATAATGAACAAATGCACCAGTAAGAATATTCTGATAAAGTTTTCAGTGCAATAATGAATAAGTTGCAAACAAAGATGCTGAGCAAATGATTATCATTTCGAGGAAATTGTTCGTGCATTGATAGCAGTTGTCGATTCAAAGGCAATTTCATATCTCCATACTACCATCAACAAATTGTTTATCAAATCATAGGGAACTGCAAAGTGGTCCCGGTCCCGGTCCCGATCCCGGTCCCGGCGGGACCGGGACCGGGACCGGGACCAAAATTTGACTTTTTTACGGGACCGGGACCGGGACCGGGAC